AAATTTAAAAAATCTGAAAGGATTCAGATTTTAAATTACGTCCAAAGGGGCGTTTTTTTTTTTTTTTTTTTTTTTTTTTTTTTTTTGTACATTTTGTGTGTTACCTTTGTTTATTAAATACCACTTCGCACTTACCATAAAATTCAGTTCAACACCAGTATCGCAAAATAATTTTAAAATGAGCATATCTTTAGGATTTCCGTTACACAGTCTCACGCGCTGGAGATAAAAATGTTTATTCTGTACAATGTTGCCATGGCTCGCTTTGAAATCCTTGAGTTTGTTAATAAAAAATTCTTTAAAGTTTTACAAAATATGAAATGATTTTCAGTGTAGCATTTTTAAAAGAAAAGTATATTCCTTGCAGTCGATTTAAGGCGTATATTTTTTAGTCATATGAGCTCTCTTAAAAAAGAAACGTTTCATACACATGCTTCGTTACGAATGTGATTTAGATTCTCGTAGATCTTTTCAGGCTGGCTGGAGAAGTCAAAATTGACTACCATTTTAAAATTGTAATCACAGCTCAGAAATTATGAATATTCAAATCTTTAGTTTTAGAAGCAAAGCAAATGACCACTAGAAATAAGAAGAAAATGGCAAAAGTATTTTGTATCTCAAAATAAGCTTTGTAAAGAAATTTTTAGCAGTACTGATATTAAATACACAAGTGCATTTAAATTTTTACACATATTAAATAAAAAATTAGAATCGTAAAACAAAAAATACATTGGCAATAAACCACTGAGTTAACACAGAAAATATTGTAATTACACTATACACTATAAAATGCAGTGTATTTGTAACATTTTGTTAATTTATTTTGTGTTGTTGTTATTTGTTAGTTTATTTTACTTACCTCTGTTAAGTATTGTTAATGCATTATGGCGCACAAGGACATATCTTAGATAAAAATATATATAATAATAAACACTTTTAGAATTTTTTAAATTAATGATGTTTTAGAAATCAATATAAATCATTAAAACTAATCAAACATTCATACTAGTCATTATCATACTCACAAAACAGGAAGTATTGTTGCGTAAGGCTATAATTTGCACAGAGATTTTTAATATTTGCCTGTAAACATGTATACTGTATTCTCAAGCATATCTAAGCCTTTGATTATAAATTCATATTCGAAAGGATATTTTGAAATTTTATCTATAAAATGAAAGTCAACTTTTCTCATAAATCTATTTTTTTCAGGTTAATATGAATAAAAAATTCTATTATATAATTTTTGTCAAATTTTATGTAAATTGTTTTGGGGGATTATCAGGAAATATCAGTTTCTTCAAAAGTTTTGCATACATGTTGTTGTCGCAAATCTCCTTCCATTCGTCGCTAGTGAAAACCTTTTCCGCATTTGCACTGATAAATTCTAATATACTATCGTATAAATTGTCATCGGAATAGACATAAGCGAAATGTAAAAGTTTGCAAACTTTTCGGACAGAAAGCCGCGATTTTAGATCACATGAGCACTTTTTCTTCATAGCAGGAATATTGTATTTATCAGCAGCTGTGTACAATTTCATCATATGACTTACTTTGTCCGCTTCAGAGAAATTAAAATTTCGAAAATACAGAAACTGAAACACATTTTCCATAACCAGCGGTTCCTCATCAGAAGTTTCCCATTCTTTTGTCAACTCTCCGAACATTTTGGAAAACACAGAAGATCGTGCGCACAAAATAAATTTGTGAAGGTAGAAAGTTCTGTACTTTACCTTAATAGAAACGTCACTTCTCCGAATTTCATAAACTTTTTTGCATGTCGCTGTTGAAATACTTGCAGTTTGTGGAGGACGCAAAGGCGTTAGAAGATTCCATAATCTTGGAATCATAACTGCCATCCGAAAATTTTAATTCACATTTAAGCAGTAATAAATCTTCTGAACCGGGAGAAATGCTACGCGAAAATTCTGCACACTTCCATTTTTCCTCGGTTAAGAACACATAGTCATATTCTGAGGAATTGGTTTCGTCGAAGGAGATCTTACTTCGCACGAAAATCGGTAGATGCTCATCCTCACATGCTCCACAAAGGGATATATCGAAAGCTTTATCATGCAGGGCATTATCACGTACCTGGAAGGTTAAATACCATCTCCAGGACTTCATATCCCCTGTAAACACGTGACTGTGTATTACCGTGTTCACAGGCAAGTTAGAGAAGTTCTTGATTGGCCATTCAAATGACACTCTACCTATATTCACCTGGGTTCGACAAGTCATTGCTATTGTAGGTGTACATATTAGATGGGGCAACTCATATTTCATAGCAGCGTCCGAGACTTCTGCCGCGAATTGGCGTTTGCTAAAATCTATCTTTCCGGTGTAAACATATTTGATGATGGCCTCTAGCACATTCGATCCGATGTCCAAAACTAATTCCTTAGATTTTTCTGCATACAGTTTTTTCTGCAGCTTGGGCCACCTCACCTCTAAAATAGCTCTATGCACCTTGAAAGACACATCACGGGCACGCAATACACAATCAGAGAACAATCCATTTTCGTATGGAAGTGGAGGGAAAATCTCTTCTTCGTTTGTCTCTCTCGTAAGTTTCAATGTACATTTTACGATCAGAATATCTTTTATCCAAGATATCGGAAGAAAACTGCTTTGTAAAGTTCCCAGACACGCCGCTCGCGCATTTTTTAATTCGTTGATCCTTGGATCCAAACTTACAATTATGCTTTCGTTATAAGTTCGTAGTTCACCTCTACTAGACAACTTGTAATTTTCTAAAACGTAATCACTTCCACAGATTTCAAGCTTTATGTTATTTTTATCTACGTTGTCCAACACATTCGAAAATAACATTAACTTCCATTTAATACCAGGTAAAGAATTCATACTAAACTCGGAACTGTGATAATTCCGAAGTAAATACGGTTTCATACTGAAGTTCTCGATAATCCACGTGTAAGTAAATTGGTCTTCGTCTTGTTTTTCCATTACGTACTACAGATTCCAGGTGTAGTTTTCGTGAGCTTTTGCAGTGCTTTGTATTTCTAGAAGCGTTTTATGATTACATTGGACACCTTTCTGTTCGATAAAATTAACTTGCGTAAGTAAAGAACGCAAGATAAGGCCGATATAAAAAGAATAGCGTCGCGAAGAGATAATACAAGTTGAAGAGTAATCTCTCACACAGTGACGGCCAAGAGTTGAACTTTTTTAATGTAAAGCGCAGAATATTACAAAAAGAGTTTCGTCATTTTAGGACAGTACGACAAAATAAAATCTTACGTTTTATACGGTGACCATTCAGAAGAAATTGTAATAAGCAGAACATCCGATTTGCATTGAATAATGGAAAAAAAATACAAACTACATTCCTTTACGAGAAATGTTCCATAAAGTGTTTAAAAATAAATTTACTATTGTTTAAAAATAAATTTATTATTTATTTAATTGTAAGTCAATTACTCACTGATATTAACGTTAGGTTAGGTTATATAAATATCTCAAACCCACGAGAATTCTCTGTAAAAGAAGGGATGCCTTCGTGGAGGACTTTCTAAGAGAATCTGGCTCGTATTCACGTTACACATGGGAAAATTCAGGAAAACCAACCATGCAGCCAGGCCGTTTGCCTGGGATCGAACCCAGGCCATGCTGAACTACCAGTATTTAGCGGTCTTAACTACTCGGTCCCTCTAAAACTTCAATGTTCTGAATTATGCGTTATGCGAGATACATACATACATACGTGTACGTACAGACGTCACGAAAACATGTCTTCTGAATCCCTTTTAAATCATTTTTGCAACCCGTTTTGAGAAAAAGAATCCTTTATTTTGTCCTTACGTACAGATGTCACGCAAAAACATCGTTAAATTGCATTCGATAGCCGTCAAATTGGAAATTTTTATTGAAATATGACACCCAAAGATTTTTCACGATTACGATACTTCCTTTACTACGCACAAGGAAATAAAATAAGTTAAATATATGATGGCTACGCATTAAAGAATATTTTGCATATTTTGAAGCTGTTTACAATTGGAAACAGTTTTTATGTAAAAGTCTCGAATATGATGAAGGTATTCTGTAAGAATAAATATATCATAATGTAAAAGTAATTAACTACGGTATCTTTTAAATTAAAAGTTAAAGAGGCAGTATAATACATCCTATTCATATACGTTTTAAATACTTTCACATAATGTGCGTATGTATTGTAGATGCCGCTCAAACGGGATAGTGGTTAGCGATACTGACTGCCGTAAAAGACGGCTCAGCTTCGAATGGCACGGACGTTTGTAAGTGTATAGTGACTGTGCGGCATGGGGCACTCTAAATATGCGACGAGTCCGAGAAGTCCGAGGAGAAGAGGTGTGGGAAACCCTCTGACTCGTCCTCCGAGGTGCTTTCAATCAAAACTGGGGGCGGAACTGAGCAAACTCGCGCTGTCTCTAGTATGGGGCTAAAGGCTCTTCCAACGACAAACGCAGTCTTGCATTCCTTGCCAATACGAATTTCATGGGCTTGTTCTGATGTTACTGTGAGACAAATGAGATAAGTCACAACAAAACAACAGAAGTGTGGATTTCAATGTAGCACTTAATAACGGAAAATAAATCTGCTTTTATGCGAGCTAATTGAGTATATTTCTTTGCTTAAAAAGTATTACAAAAAAAGACGAATAGTTTATAATTATTAATGAAACAAAAATGAGTGCTAAAGCAAGAAATATATAAATAATATATATTTATATATCCCCTTCTAAACGCTTATGTAGTTTTATACATTATACAAATATATTGTATATAAACAGTATTATTGTATTATTATGTATATTTTCTATACTTTCTCTATACATATATATTTTCTGTGCAATATATATTAATATATATACATATATGTATATTTCTGTATAATATGTATATTAATATATATATTTATATATTATGGACGCTTATATATTTTCTATATAGTACATGATTACATATGTTCTATATTATATATATACATGTTATTCTTATATCATAATGGTATTTATATTTCTTTAACTCTTACAATTAAATATTAAAGAAAGAGAAATAACTTCTTAAAGGGATATTTCATGCACATATTTCGTTAAAGTCTTATCACACACTAAAAACATTTCGGAGGAACAACTCTTTAGAATAATTTTTCCGCTTTGTCACATGATATGGAACACCCAATCACTACGGATCGTTTTGGAGTTTCCATGTAAAGAGCAAAGTAGTTCTCTATTACAAATGACGGTCGATGGTGGAGAATTCAATACTGACAACTGGTTGGTTGTTAAAACCGAGCAACTTATAATTTTTTGCGAAAGAAAGGAAAATATCGTGCGTCTTTCTTATAGTGGTAAAGTAGCTTGTTGTTGGTCTGAAATAATTGGATGTATGATACCAGCCTCATAAGTACAGTTTGGATTCTGGCTAATATTATCAGAATAAAGGATTCAAAAGGACCTACAATTTAAAAAATGCTAAGAACAGCTAAAGAATTATAAACATTCAAATCTTCAGGAGCAAATTCATGAAAGAAATAAACGGTAAATAATAGAAGCTTTGTATATCTCGAAGTAAGTTTTGTAAAGGAATTATTATGTAGCAGTAAACTGAAATCTAAAATTGCATATTAAATGAAAGTACGATGATAATAACACATTGCATTAATATAAACGTTTTTTAATTGTATTATACATTATAAAACGCAGTGGAACATTATAGGTGAAACATTATTTTTAAACATTCCTAAACTAATGAACTCATATATTCACAATAGTCATACATCATATTTAAAAAAAAAAAAAAAAAGGAATTAATTTGCGGAATCTTATAATTTGCACTCAGATTTTTAATATTTGCCAAGAAACATGTAAATTTTATATTCAATAATCTACGTGTCCGTGTTATAAATTCAGATTTAAAAGAATAGTTTTAAATTTTAACTATATTTAGAAAAATAAAATTTTCTCATAAATCTATCTGCTAGATTAATGTAAACTGCCACGTCCTGTTAGAGTATAAAAAAAGCTTTTTATATAATTTGTAAGATTTTAGGTTAAGTAACCAATTATTATAAGTTGAACCTATACCATAACTCTTTCTTTTCTAATCCTCAACAGAATGCAAATTAGTTACTGTGTATTTAAATTGAGAATTAGAATATTTAGTGGTAAAACTTCTAGCAAACTCGTCTAGGTGCTACTTTCTGTCGCCAACTAGGCCAAAGTTTCACTCCGGCTTTAGCATCTTGCTGGCCGATATTTGAAATACGCGCCGGTAATTACCTTGATCCAGTTGAAGTAGTTTATTTTTGTGCTTTTTGTCTCGGACTACGTCTCAGATTAGTTTTAAATACCTGTAAATAGCGGAGTTTCGTGCGTCACATAAGCAGTACTTTCTGCCCATTTAAGAGTTAAATAAAAATACTATTTTAACTTATCATTGCTTGAGACTACGAGGAAAACTCCTTATTAGTTAAGTCGAACATTAACACAAGTTTATAGACATAGCAGAATCATACAAATCCTCTCACATTTTTATGTAAATTACTTTTTAGGACTATTAAATACTACTGCCTTCTCGAAAAGTTTCGTATACATATTATTATCGCAGATTTCCTTCCACTCCTCGGTAGAACAAACCAGTTCTGCGTGTGAACTGATGAATTCGAACACATTATCATACAAATCGTCATCGGAATGCTGATCGGCAAATCGCAAAATCCGGACAACATTTTCGATAATGAGACTCGATTTCAGATTGGAAGAACAAATTTTCTTTAGGAAAGAAATATCATACTTATCAGCTACTGTATACAGTTCCATAACTTTTTCTATCGGTAAAAATCTGAAATCTATATTTCCAGAGTACAGAGTGCGAAGCATTGTATCCATTATTAAAGAATCTACAGCAGAAACTTCGACGGAGTTCTTCTTCGACGGTCTGTTGCTCTTCGTCACGAACATTTCGGAAAACACTGAAGATCGAGCGCAGAGAAGGAACTTATGAGCGCGAAATGTTTCCAAACCGACGACAATGTCCACATCCGACGATTTGCGGCTTTGGTAAAGATCTGCCATGTCGCTGCGAAAATACCTACAACTTACGGACGGTGCAAATCCATAAGAACATTCTACAACTTTGGAATCAGATGTGCAATCCGAAAACATTAACGTGCATTTAAGAGTCAATATATTCTCTGGATCCATAAGCACATTGCGTGAAAATTCTGCACACATCCAGCTTTCATCCTTTTTGAATATGTGCTCATTTTCCGACGAAGTAATACCACCGAAGGATATGTTACTTCGTACGAAAATCCGTGGCGATGCATCGCTACCTGATTTGCAAAGGGATACGTCGAAGATTACACCTCGAACGGCATCTTCGCGCAAATGAAAGATTAAATACCATCTGCAAAACTTCACACAACCCACTGTGAACACGTGACTGTATAGCACTGTGTTGACAGGCAGGCTGCAGAAATTCTGGATTGGCCACTCAAATGATACTTTGTTTATATTTATGTGCGTCAGACAGTTCTGGGCCACAATAGGTGCACATATCAAATGGGGAAGCTCATATTTTATAGCAGCCGCTACGATTTCTGTTGAGGATTCGCCTCCGCCGAAATCCATCCTTCCGGTGTAAACGTATTTGACAACTGCCTCCAGTACATTCGGCTTAATATCCAAAACAAGCTTGTTAATTTTTTCTGCATCCAGTTTTTCCGCTAGTTTGGGCCACCTTGCCCATAAAATCGCTTTATGGACTCTGAAATCCGTGCCAGTCGCACGTAATACGACATCCGTGAGCAATCCGTTTCGGTAAGGAACTCCTGGGAATGTCTCTTTTTCATCTGTCTCTTTTATAAGCTTGAAAGTACATTTTATGATCAAAATATCGTTTATCAGAGATTTTAAGAGAGAACCGCTTTGATAACTGCCCAGGCTTGCCGATGCCGCATTTGTAAACACGTTGGTAGTTTGATTAAAACTCACAATAGACCTTTTGTCGGACGTTAGTAATTCACAGCTGCTGCATATTTTAAAGCTTTCCAGAACGGTACCACTTTTGCAAAGGGTAAAAAATGTTTTACATTCCTCGACAATGTCAGATACGGAATTACGCAAACTTATCTGCCATTTGATGCTGGGTAAAGAATTGAAGGTAAATTCCGGGCTCTGAAGATCTTCACATACCGAATGAGGACCCATGCTAGAATGCTCTATAGCCCACGTGAAAGTAAATTTGTCTTCCTCTTGATTCTGCATTAGATTTTACAGATTTTCAAGGCTTGACTTCGTTGCAACGAAATGAGAGTTCATGTATTTGGCGGAACTTTGACCAGTTTCACTTTGCACTATAAACAGTACTTTTTTCCGCAGAACTTTCGCCAACGCTAGATTTTTCATTTGTATCGTATTGTCCCACCTTCCTGATTGATAAGATCAACCTGCTGGAGTAAACAGCTCAATATAATGCAGAGCTCTAAGAGTAACGCCCCGAAGAGATAACACAATTTGAAGTGCACCTCTTGAGCAGTGATAAAGAAACTGGTGATTCACAGGTAACTAAGGAAATTTTCTTCAGCGAATTTCTGAGCAAAAGCATGTTTTCATATTTTAAATCATGTACACTGTAAGAATCTTGTAACAACGGGTATTTACCCGTTGTTACTAACTACGGGTGTTACTAAAATATATCCCCCCCCCCCCAAAAAAAAAAAAAAAAAACTTCAGATTGTCATGGATTTTGAATGAAATACTATCTATTTTAAGAGCTATTACATACAGATCTCTTTTCTTCAGCAGTAAAAGTCTTTTACAAAGGCGGGAGGCGAATATATGGAAATCAACAAGCGGGGAGGCAAAGTGAAAACGAAATTTGGTTTATCAGTCAAGGCAATTAGTAATGAAGCGTGTAAAAGCTAATATATTACTATAATGAAGCTTTACATTATCTGAATACTGCAAAGCACACGTGAGCTACCTATCTGAAGGAAGGGATGCTTTCACGAAGGACTTTCTAAGGGAAACTAGCTCGCCAAGCAATCATATCGTTCGCTGGGATTTGAATCCGAATCGAATTACTAGTTTACAGTGGTGTTATCACTCGGCTAATATTGAGCCTAGTTGGTCCTCTGTGTTGAGAAATAAATATGCTATTGAAATTTACAGTAATAATTTTATAGCATTTAAATCTTTTCTCATTATTTACATGACAACAAAATTTAAAAAAGTAAACTAACTTAAGCTTTATTTTATTTGAACTAAACCAAGGATTAACCACCTTTTTCTTGCATCGACTTCTTTTAAAGAAATTATTTTCTCCATCGACCCTCTTACATTTTTCTCTATATACAACATGCAGCATAATCATAATACAAATAATTGAACTTAAAGATAACAATAAGGCTAGATAGAGGATAAGATAACAATAAGGCTGGATTTATGTTTTATTATTTTTTCTTAGCCCAAACGGACGCTATCCCAAAAGAGCTATTAGACACAAAACGGTATTTTACGTCAGCCGTTTCAGTTTTCAAATTGTTGCCACCAAATATTATCGCCCTGTATTATATTTAAAGAAATTAGGTAATGAAAAATCTGCACGAATGTATGTTTCTGGCATTGTGAAAAAACAACAATACCTACAGACTTGAAATTTTGAGTAACGTAGTCCTCCCCCCCCCGAATATGAGCACACGGAAGGCCGAATTTGGAATTTATTTTATTGTCTGTTTCATATTTTGTAAAACATTAACGAATTCAGCGATTTCAAAGCCAGAAATGGCAACACTGTCCGGAAAAAAGAAGACAATTATCTCCAGCGCTCGAGACTGTATGTCGGAAATTCTAAAGATATACTGTTTTTAAATATTTTGTCCAAAGGAACATTAGCACAAATGCTATGGAAATAAAAATGTAAATAAAAAAAATAAATAAAAAGAACGCCCCTTTAGGCGTAATATAAAATGCGAAAGCTTTCAAAGTTTTTCGAATATAAACAAGTTTTTAGAAACAAAATCGCATATTCTACTGCATAAAAGTTCGCTTTTACCGAATGCAAAGTACTGATGCAATTTATTTATTCTTTGAAATGTGATTCCTGAACTTAATTTTTAAGTTACCTCCTTCAAAAACGTTTAATCTGTTTCTCGCTTTCCATTCCAGTTCCATTTGCGTTCTTAGGATTAGGTTGTCCGGAAAATAATGCACGTTTTTAAGTTATATCTTTAAAGTATCATGAAAGGAAAAAAAAAAAAACTATGCTTAATAATAAAGCTAAAAAGACAAAGAAAATGGGTTAATAGGAGTTAGTGCAACAGCATAAGGGTAAATTGCAAACTCAGCGACAGCATAAAAGCCTTAACAAATCCTTTTGGGCGACCGTTAGAATGTAAAACCTTTCATATTTTTTGTCCTCTTATATTTATTTTATAGGTTGTCTTCCTCCCTACGTGATACCAATTTATATCAATAAAAAATTAATTATTAAGATATATATATATTGTAATCAATGAAATCTTGATTATGTCGATCAACTGAAAATGCATATTCGGTTATCCACCCCTAGACGATTCCTTCATCATCATTGGTCCCCTTTAAAATTTCATAGACCCCCCAGGGGGTCAATGCCGACCTCGTTTGAAACCTCTGATCTAGAGCGTAGACCTACATTATACTACTACCTAGATTACATACTACTACCTAGATTTGAATAACTGAATTTCTGGATATTGGGAGTTCGGATAATTGGAATTCCTTGATCCTAAATTCAAGATAGCCAGAGTTCTGTTTGTACAAGAATTCTACAAGCTTCATTGTACAAGTTTCATATTGCAGTGTTTTTAAGAATTTTTTGAACTCGTGAAACTGAAGAAATGGCAGAGATTCGAACTCTAGACCTCTCGAATACGCGTCGAACATGCTTCCAGTGACACCACGAAGGCATGCGGAAAGAAGGGAGAAAACTCCTTACTTATTTCCTCTTTTAAAAAGGTGACTGGGGATTAAGGGACACAGTCGCCAAATCCTCATGGTAATGAGTTATCGCCCACCGTCTTTCACTTCGGGGATAAAGTCTTTAGGGAACTTGTAGAGTCTGTAGGTAGTTAGTACCTTTGCCAGGATTTCAACCACGGATTTTCATTTTACTAACTCGACATGTTAACTCGACATGGCGCGGGAAACCACCATTCTGCCGAACCATTCTTTTCGCTGCAATTCGAAATACGAATCTTCCACTTGTCAGCCGACCGTAAGACTGCATACACGGAATCAGGCGATAATTTATAGTTCGACCGCCTCATCTGCGACCATGAGCGCAAACACGCATGCGCCATTCGGACCGAGTTATTTTGAAAATAGGGTGGAAGAATGGGGGCTTTCTTTCCTTTGAGCATATAAATTCTCTCTTTCCGGAGTGTTCACGTGACCTTTCACGTCGCAGCAAGTAATAACGCCCCTTTCGGACGAGTCTACGTATTTTGGCAGAATGCCAGCCAAGGTTGCGTTTGAGACGGCAGAACTATACTTACGTTCACTGAAAATCATAAAGTTCCCAGAAGACAATGAATGAAACAACAAAATCCGCTGTTTAGCCCTTGCCTGAGATTCAAATCACGGATCTTTCACTTTGAGTAAAAATAATACTGAATTAATTAGAATGTATTAATTAATTAGTGTATTTAACACAGAATTGAACAAATTACTATGCATTAATTAATTTGTATTGTGTTGAATTAATTAGTACGTATTAATTAATTAGTACGTTTAAAACAGTCCTGAATTAATTAGTATATATTAACTAACAGCATAGCCATTAAAATACAAATATAAATTACAAAATTATATAACACGATTATGTACAACATTAAAATATTGATATAAAATATAGCATCATCACAGAATTAATTAAGCATTAAATTAAACTAGATATAGAAAGTATCATAAGTATCTTACACAATAATTTAAGCACTACATTAAAATAAATGTGCATACTATCCTAATTATGCTGCAGAATTAATTGAATATTACATTAATTTACAAATACAAAGTTTAATAACTATACTTCAGCATGAATAAAACACAGCACTGACATACAGATACAAATTATCATAGAATTAATTAAGCTCAAAATTAAAACACAAAGTATCATTATTGTTGTTTGACTTCTGAATCAGTATCATTACTGTATTAGAGAATTAATTACTTAGTCCATTAAAATACAGACACAAAGTATCATAATCACATTGTTAAATTAAGTCAGCATAACGGTTAAAATACAGATATAAACAGTATTATACACAACTTTAAAATATCGATACAAAATAATATATAATTATTACAGAACAGCAATATTGTATACAATAATAAGACATAGCAATATTATAGAGACATAACCAAATAATATACAGTTAATTAAGCGCTAAATTAAGTTACTGACACAAAGTATCATAACTGTGTTACATAATTAGTTAAGCACAGCGTTCAAATACAGATATTAACAGAAAATACAGATATTACAGAACTAATTAAATGCTACAATAAATTTAGAAGTATCATAACTATATTACGGAATTAGTTAAGCACAACATCATTAAGTTCCTGGTTGTAAATATAAAGAAACTCATAATCATATTACATTATTAATTAAATGCTGCATTAAAATACAAAGTATCATAACTATATTTTAAAACTGTAACATAAAATATGCAGAAGTAAAAATGCATAATTTGAAAAAGGTAAAACATCGAATTACCTGGATTATGAATCCTGAAAAGACCGCTTACTTAAGTGAAATATTAATTCGCTTCAGTTTAACGAATGGGAAAATTTGTAGAGTTTATTATTTTTTTAATTTAAAATTTTAAATCTTAATTTGTATCTTTGCCTGTTCAGAAAAGGGCTTTTTATTTATTTGCTTGTTTTAGTGCAACAACCCCCTGACGACGATGCAGTAAAAGATGTAAATTTTATTTTCATATTCGGTTTTGGCATATTCTCCTATTTCTTACAGTTTGCCACTGTATTTCTCTTTTATAGTTTTTGCATGTGTTTTATTACAAATTAAATATGGGATGAACATTATACGCATTTCTTCTTTTATTTTGTGTTGCATAATTTAACCAGTTCTTAACAAAGTATCATAAATTAAATTATAAAATGTAAACTAATACGAATGTCCTAAACGAAATCCATGTCTTCAGTCAATCTTTCGAATAAGTACAATATTAATTGATTATTTAAAATAATCGTAAAACTGAATAGCAGAATATTCAACCTACTTTCCATCTAGAATTTCAGTACTTAATTTTGTAAATATTTACATCTTTATCGATAATTTCAAATTCGAGAAATAATTTTGAATTCTGCAAACGAAATGTTAAAGTAGATTTTTAACATAAATATACTAAAATCCTCTCTAAGACAACCACCAGCGATTTAGAATGATTCTGGTTTTTGAGGAGATAGGTCATCTTACTAATGAGGTGTCAATACGCTCTCAGAAACGTGGTCGCTTTCAGAAGTGGTCGTCTTAGGGAAGGACTCGGAAAGAGATAGTTCGGTGAATTTTAAAAATTATTGGAATCTATATGATTTCGCAAAAAAGGAATTCTTTTTATTCTGATCCCGAATTTGATATTAATTATTTTGCAGAGATATTACGAATTATGGCTTTTTCCAACATTTTTGCACACATGTGACTTTTAGAGATCTCCTTCCATTCATCACTTTAGAACACCTCTTCTGCATGTGTACTTATATATTCGAATACACTCTCATATAAATCGCTGTCGAAATACAAATCCGCTAACTGCAGAGCTTTGCGTGCGTTTTGGACATTAAGATTACATTTCAGGAACGACGAGCACTTTCTCTTAAGAGCAGGTAGATCGTATCTTTCAGCTGCTACATACAGCTGCGCAGCTGTTTCTCTTAATGGTTTGTCTAAGTTGCCCGAATACAAAAACAGAAGCATTTCGTCCAAAATCTCAGGATCCATATCAGAAATTTCAATGGAATTTTTTTCGGAATCTTTCATTTCGTTACGGAACATTCTCGAAAACACAGACGATCGGGCGCACAGAATAAATTTGTGCGCGGGAAATATTTCTGAATCCACTACAATATTGACATCCGATAAATGTCCACTTCTATAGAGATTACGAAGGTCACTGCTGAAACGATGAGAGTTTATAGAAGAAGTGACGTCACAAAAAGATTCCACGATCTCAGAAAAGTGACCGCAATTCGAAAACCTTAAATCGCACTTAATTAGCAGCATATCCTTTGGATCTTTAGAAATTCTTCGCGAAAACTCCGCACATTTCCAGCTATCGTCGAACTCGAACAAGCGTTCGTTTGCGGAAGAATCAGACTTATCGAATGATAGCTTGCACCTCACAAAAACCCGTTCCATTTTATTGCAGTAGACTTTGCAGAGGGTTATATCAAATTTTCTGCTACTCTTTGTATCTTCACGCAAGCAAAACACTAATTTCCATTTGCAGGATTTCACATTATTGACAGCAAACACATTGCTGTTTAGTGTTGTATTAACAGGCAAGATGGAGAAATTTTCTATTGGCCACTGAAATGAAATTCTTTGCATATCAACGTGGGTTCGGCATTTTTGTCCCACTACAGGCATAGATATTAGAGTGAGAAACTCGTACTTCGCAGCAGCGTCTGACAGTTCTGTTAAAAATTCATAACCTATAAATTTCAAAGTGGGCATTTCGCATTTTGTAGCAGCTTCGGGAAGTTGTATTAGAAATTCATAACCTTTGAAATCTATTTTTCCAGTGTACGCATATTTGATGATGGCATCCAAGACTTCGGACTTAACACCCAGAACTTCTTCAGAGGTCTGTTTTGTTTCAAATTTTTCTGTCATTTTAGGCCACCTTGCCCACAAAATTGCTTTTTGCACTTTGAAAACTTCGCATTCAGCACGTAACACAACATCCGTATACATTCCACTTGTGTACGGAAGTGGAGGAAGTGTACCTTGTTCGTTTGCTTCAATCACAGGTTTTAGAACGCATTTTATAGTCAGGATATCGCTTTTTAGTGCCTGAAAAAGACAACTCTTTTCCACACGCAAACCTGCGACGGATGTCAGTTTCGTAAAAACGTATATTTGTTCTCTAGAATCAAAAACTGATTTTCCTTTGCAATCTACTATTTGAAATCTATAACTTACTTTACAGTTTTCTAGAATGTTATCATCTCTAAAGAGAGAAATGACGGTACAGTTTTCTTTGGTAAAATCTCGCGGATATAATCGAATGTACCACTTCATGCCAGGGAGAGAATTCAGAGCGAAATCTGGACTGTAAAAGAATTCTCCTGTAGACTCATGGCACATACTGAAGTTTTCAACAACCCACGTGAATGTAAATACATCGTCTCTCTGTTTCTCCATTTCTTGTTCTCTCTTACGCTGCCATTTCAGTCAGAATAAATCAGCGGTTAAATAAGGGGCGTGTTAGGCTTATCGTAAACCTTTGTTTATCTTCGTATGATAAAGGGAATGAAACTTTTTATTCCCACTAACTTCCGCAAACCTGATATCTGTTACCGTATGTTGCATTTTTGACAAAATGATATAAAAATGTATGCGTGTTTTTTCTTCCTTATACGAAGTAAAGGACGTAAAAGTATATAAATAGATGTGTACTACGTATATGACTACTCTGTTACTCGGCTCCATGAGATCAGTTTTTTTTTATTCTTATATATTGATAAACTGTGTATTTTTTTGCTTTAATAGGTGATTGAATTATGTTGTTCTTATGTTCCGTTTAAGGTTTTTGTGCTTTTAGCTAATCTGTATGCAATAGTTGTAGAATTATCAACAATTTAAAAGTTGTTTAAGTTAGATTACTAACGCCGCTGCTATTTTTTTACATTTGAAATTTAGTAGCGTAGTGAATTCAGTTTCTGCACCAACTTCAGTGTCTTTTTGCCGAGTGGAGCCAAAAGTTTTGTGCACGAAAAATTTAATTTGTCTTTCTACCTAATTTCAATTAACTTAAACTCTAATTTTAACTGCAAAACTTTTTTCAATGGTTTTTAACTACGTTTGGTGTTTTAGGTTTTTCTGTATTTTACACTTTTCCTTGCAGTGAGAAATGAATTGATTGAATGAGAAATATATCTCTAATGAAATTAGGGAAAATAAGTTTAAATGAAATGCAGCAAAAAATGTGCCATTTAATAGGTCGTAGAAGGAAGTCACGTGTGTCTACATAAGATTTTTTACCTTCCCTACAAGCATAATTAGAACGATTGTCACAAATTCTCACACTTATCTCATAGTATATAAAACGTAGACCATTTAACGTAATGCTTGCTTGATTATGGAAAACCATGCGAGGACTATCTACATAACGAAAGCCTCCGTGAAGTGTTTTCTAAGGAAAGCGCTCGTATCCACGCTACATATAGGGAAACTAAAACGCCCATACAGTCAGTTCGTTCGCCGAGATTTGACCAAGGGTCAAACTACCAGCGTTCGGGGAATTTACCACTGCGTCGCTGGTGAGCAATTTACCGTCCTGAGAAACGCAAAATTAGCTCTAATGATTGGCGTAGCTATAGCTTTTACTGCTTAAAACGATCTCTAAAATTGACGCCCCTTTTGATGTACTAACAAATAACTACAAAAAAAAAAAAAAAAAAAAAGTCAAAAGGACATATAGGGAAATGAATTAAAACTCTACATTTATTTTGAGGCAATCTTTAATTCCAATATTTTAAAATTATATTGTTATTTTTCATGTTTTCTCTGTTCGCAATAATAGAAATGCTATTTTATAGGATTATTTCCTTACACTTGCTGTTATGCAGAGAGATTTATTAAATGAGAAATATTCATTTGTAGTTCTTAAATAATTTTTATTTAGAAAACGCTTCTCAAACCCAGCACTGCTTACAGTAATTGAGAGGATTGAATTATGTAGTTACGGCAAAGCACACGAGGGCTATCTGCCTAAAGGGAGGGATGCCTTCGTGGAGGACTTTCTAAGGGAAACTGGCTCGTATACACGTTACACATGGGGAAATCCACGAAAACGCCCATGCAGACAGCTCGTTCGCGGGATTCGAACCTCGGACCGAACTACCAGTGTTCAGCGTCTTTACCGCTCGGCCGCTGGTGGCACAGTAATTGAGAGGAAAGCGCACACTAGTAATACATTGTTTGGAACTTTATCTAGGAGATTGTGTTTTAGAATAAACTGCAAAAATTCGAAAAGACCGCCCTTCTAATAATCGTAATAATCGTAATAAAATTCTGAAGTACTTCCTTCTTAAGGAGATATTCTTCCTCGTGAATGTCAACATGATCATAATTTAGTTGGTATTCGTATTTTTCATTCAAAGGTTTTGACGGAGTACAGAACGTATAACAAGCGTAGGAAACTGCCGAAATATCGTGGTGATTTCTTTAAATAGATTTTCTACGGTCAAAGCTATTTTTCTTCTCAATTTAATTCCATATGGAAATATAGAATGTAACTGTCTCGACGACCCATCCCTATAAATTACGTTTCATGCAAAAAAATACAGTCCCTAGAAATGTACCGCCGGGGCGGATCGTTCCCTCCGCCATTCACCAGCCCATGTTACTGGCTTTAATTTCATTCCCTCCGCCATTCGCATGGAGGTAGGAAGTTAGATTAAATTTCTCCATTAAAATTTCTGATGCGGATTCTTGGGTTATAAACAAAATGCTTCAGTTTCTATAAACTGGAAGCTCTGTTATCTCTTTCGTGAAAATATAACATAAACTACAGTATTCCTCTTTTTCAGCAAATGTGCTGTTTTAATCTAAAATCAACCTTTTCTGTCCATAATGTTTGCAGAGTTCTAGAACTGGCCGAGGCCCATTTCGACGACAATCTGTACGAAAGTGTAATCGAATTTATGAGTTATAAAGCACAAAAAGCATTCTCAACCGATGAATGGAAAAAAATATCACAAAATAACAAAGATGCAAAACTTTTAGAAGAAGCGATTATACATAAAATTCGAAAAAAATGATTAACAAAAACTTTGAGGAAATGATTCCTCAAAGTTTAATTTCTTGGATAATTTTTTGTTTAAATTTGTTCTAAAACTAGATTTCAAAATTTTATATTTCTAACCATAAACCAAACTTCACAGTTTTCTTTCAATATTGCATTTTTTATGCAAACGGGAAAGATACTTCGCCACAAAATATATTTGTTTGCTACACTGACTACCAATAAGTATTTGGACACCTATGCAAATGACGATAGCTGCGGTCATAACGTACGTCACCGACTCCGCCGGTATATATCGTGTAGGAAACAGCATCGGCTTTAGTCGCATGCAAGATGCCTCGCAATTCGGAGCTCTCTGATTTCGAGAAAAGTATAATTATCGGGCATCACAAATGTGGCCGATCCTTAAGGAACATATCTAGCGATCTGAAGTACCCAAAATCGACAGTGGTCTATGTGATTAAGAAGTGGAAGGTGAGCGATGATTGTCGGAATGTGCCCCGAGTCGGTAAACCAACGAAACTGGGAGATACAGATCGACGAATGCTGTCCAGAGAAATTCGGAAGAACCGCACGCAACCGATGGCCCTCATCCGCGATGAGTTTCAACAGGCATCCGGGAGTATTGTTTCAATGAATACCATCCGTAAGGAAGCACTTCTGCTTGGTTTTCATGGTCGTGCTGCTGCCCATAAGCCTTTGGTCACAAAGTCCAACCGCGCTGCTCGGTTAATGTGGTGCAAAGCACATCGAAATTGAAGCGTAGATCAGTGGAAACGGGTTCTTTGGAGTGACGAATCAAGGTTCACCCTTTACCGTTCGTATGGTAGGGTCTGGGTCTGGCGTCTACCTGGAGAACGTCTCCTTCAGAATGCATTGTGCCAACAGTCAAGTTCGGCGGAGGTGGAATTATGGTCTGAGGGTGTTTCTCCTGGTATGGGCTGGGACCCTTAGTTCCCATTCATGGTAAGCTCAACTCCGATTCCTACTGCACTATTTTGGATGACAATGTGCTTCCTACGTTGTGGCAGTTTTACGAGTTGGACCCCTGTTACTTTCAGGACGACAATGCCAGTTGTCATGTTTCGACGTTAACCAAGGCTTGGTATGGTGCCAATGGAATTCATCGAATGGACTGGCCTGCCCAGAGTCCAGACCTGAACCCTATCGAGAACCTCTGGGACGAGTTGCATCGCCGAATTCAGGGGTGCACTACCCGTGCAAAATCGGTGAAGGAACTTTTATGTCTTCTCCAAGCCGAGTGGAAAAAAATACCACTAGCTGTCATACAAAGACTTGTGGAAAGTATGCCTCGGAGGGTCCATGCTGTAATTACCTCTCGTGGAGGCTCTACCAACTATTGATTTTGAATAAAGTTAGTTTTTCTTTTCTATCACAGGTGTCCAAATACTTATTGGTAGTCAGTGTAGTAAGGATTAAAAATTCGAATGCTGTTTAGAACACCTTGAAATTTTGTTTCATCGTTATTTTCAATAATATATATTATTATTATTATATTATTATAATAATATTATTATTATTATTTGACCAAAGGGACAATTTGCCCAGTAGCGTTATTATTTCGCTTTGGCGTTTTGCGTCGTCCACTATAAAACGATATTTCAGTTTTCAAAATTGTTGCCACCAAACTGTTAGAGCCCTCCATTATATTTAAAGAAATTAAATAATGAAGAATCTGCATGAAATGTATATTTCTCGCAATGTGAAAAAACAACTATACTTAAAGACATCAAATTTTAAATAACGTAGTCTTCCATTCGAATATGGCCATCTGGATGCTCAAATTTAGAATTTGGAATTTGTTTTATTATCTATTTTATTCTTTCTAAAACTTTAACGAATTTTTGATTAACACACTTCGCGATTTCAAAGCGAGCAACACCGTACGAAAAATAATTTTTTTTTTTTTTTTTTTTTTTTATCTTTAGTGCTGGAGACTCTGTATCGGAAATTCTAAAGATATGTTCTTTTTAAATAATTTGTGATATTGCTAGTTGAATTGAATTTTATGGTTTAAGTGCGATGAACATGATATTTAATAAATAAAGGTAACACACAAAACGTTAAAAGAATGCCCCTTTAGGCGTAATATAAAATCTAAAGCTTTCAGACTTTTTTATGTTATTATTATTATTACTATTAAGTGTGAATTCACAACTACAGTGCGCGTTTTCAGATATCCAAAAATACGAATTATGCAACATTTTAGAGTTCACAACCAAATTATAATATTTTCTCGAAATGCAGTGTTTCAATCTTATAATTTAAGGCATTTGATTATCCATGCCACACCAAAAACCCGAATCAAACTTTTTCTCACTTCTCACTTATATTATTGGTTTAAATTAATTTTCGATGTTTTATTCTGTGCTTAAAACAAGCAGATTAACA